GATAGACAAAAATATACCTAATCAAAATGTAAAACTTCTGTGCATCGAAGGACACTATAAAGATACAACTCTTTTAATGGCCTCTTATTTACTTCATTGACAAGAGAGGGATTACTGCCCTAGAATTAAGGAGATGGTTAAACACTGGATATCCGATATAGGCCAGATGAAATTGAGAGCACTTTATTAGTCACATATACTCAATAGCCCAAGGGAGGAGGCGACCACATGCCACGCAGGGTGACATGGGGGGTTACAACTGGGAACAGAGTGTGCAAATAAACAGAAATTTCATTTAAAATGGAGTTGGACGGCTAGAAGAGAGAACTCTCATGTATGTGCCATTCAACACACACTGCTGACCCCAATAGGAACAGAAGTACCTTGCATCTCCGACAGGAAGTGGTACTACATTACTCCCTCAGCGGGAGGAAGAAAAGAGTCCTCCTTGCCCAGCAATAGTTCAATCAATGGAAAATTGCCATAACTCAGCCTATGAAAAAGGTCACTATACTTCAAACCCCCAATTTCCTCCAATGGACTCTTCATTCATAATAGCCCCTCTCAGGCCCACTAAACAGAGTTCCTCTCCTTTGTTTCTCTGCACTTGCTGTGGTTCACCATTAGAACACATGTCCTGGATTACAGTTCTTTGTTGTACTCAAATAAACCCATTTAGCTGGAGAAGTATCTGTCTGTCTACTTATTTAAGGTCAATACTATTGAACAACCAGGGGCTGTGAGTAATAATGACTGATTCCTGTGGGAGAATGTGATTGGTTTGTTTCCATAATTTCCCAGCTGCAAGAAACTGAAATTCACTAATCAGAAATCAGTAGGAACTTCACCTACTTATTGGTGGATAAGGAAGGTTGTTTGAATAAGTGAACCTGTCCATAGGCACAGACTGGGGCAGGACTATTCAAGGTCTTCATGGTTTCACCAGATGATCAAGGCAGCAGATAATATTGACCTTATTTTTAGGCCTTAAAACAACCCAGTGAATGGGAGAAAATATTTGCAAATGATATCTGATAAGGGTCTAGTATCCAAAATACATAAAGAAGGTTTACAGCTCAACAACAAAAAAGATGAACAACCCAATTAAAAAATGGGCAAAGGACTTGGATAGACATTACTCCAAACAAGATGTATAAATGGCCAACAAGCACATGAAAAAGTGTTCATATCCATTAGTCATTAAGGAAATACAAATCAAAATCACAGTGATACACCACTTCACACCAGAGAATGTAAACCAGTGTAGCTGCTATGGAAAAGTTTGTGATTCCTCTAAAAGTTAAACATAGAATTTCCATATGACCCATAAATTCTACTCTAAGGTTGATACACAAAACAACTGAAAATGGATACTCAAATGAATACTTCTGCGTGAATGTTAATGGCAGCACTATTCACTAGCCAAAAGGTGGAAATAATCCAAATGTCCATCAACAAATGAATGGTCAAATCAAATGTGGTATATATGTTCAGTGGAGTATTATTCAGCCATAAAAGTGAATAAAGTACTAATTATACTACAATGTGGCTACACCTTGAAAATATTAGACTAAGTGAAAGAGACCTTAACCAAAAGGTCACATGCTGTATGATTCCATTTATATGAAATATCCATAATTACTAAATCCGCGGAGACAGAAAGGAGATCGTAATTGTCAGGGGCTGATGAAATGGGGTGCTTGGTGGGGGAATAGGCAGTGCCTATTTAATGGGAGCAGGGTTTTCTTTTGGGGTGATGAAATATTTTGGAACTAGAGAGATTTGGTGGCTGTATAACATTGTGAATATACTATATGCTACTAAATTGTACACTAAAAAAATTAGTCTTATGTGAATTTCACCTCTTTTTTAAAAAGAGAAAAATACCCATGCCTCTTCTGTCAAACATATACATTTCAGGCTCTCTCTAAATGCTCTTAAAATTAAAAAGAACACTCGGGCAATAAACTGATAAATCCGTATCTATAAAAAGGCACTGGTTTATACTATACATGTGCTCCCCACCCCACACTTAGAAGCTGAGAGTCACTGCCTTACCAGATATAGTACTAAATTATTCCACTGGAGCCTACCTTCCCTGCCTTTTCCCTTGCAGTTTCCTAAACATAGTGGGGGGTATTCACTTCTTCATGCCCATGAACACAACCACCTCTTAACCTACAACAGTGGGTCTCAACCCTACCGCACATCAGAATCACTTCCAGGAAATTTAAAAAAGTAACTCCCGCCTGGGCCCCGTCAACTGAACTAGAATTTCTGGGGGACAGACCGAGAATCTGGGGGTTAGGAGCTCAGTTTCAAAACTCCCCAGATGACACTAATGCGCAGCCTGGGTTGAGAATAATATACCTTGAATATACTATATCCACTTCCCTTTCGCCAGGTGTAAGACTTTCTAAACTCCAATCATTCATGTATCAGTTTTGGAAAGTTGTGATTTCCTAGAAATTCATCCATTTCATTTGAATTTCAAACTTATTTGTATAAAGTTAATTAAAAGATCTTATGATCTTATCTTTTAATGTCTGTATACCTGTAATGCCATAATTTTTTCTTCACTTATATTAGTTATTTTGCTTGTCTCTTCTCCTTCTAAATAGTTCTTCTAAGGGCTTATCAAATTCCAGTTGTTTCAGAATAAAACTTTTGCCTGTGTTGTTTTTTCCAATGTACAGTTGTGCATTTAATTTCTGCTCCTATTATTTCCTTCATTCTACTTTCCTAGGACTTAACTAATTCTTCTTTCTCTAACTGTTTCAAAAGGAGACTTCAATGATTAATTTTGAAATCTTTTTTTTCTAATATATGCATTTCAGGGTATAATTCCTCCCCCAAGCACAGATATAGCCGCACCTTACACGGTTTCATATGCTATATCCTCATTATCATTCAGTTTAAAGTAATTCCAAACTTCCTTTATAATTCCTTCTTTGATATTGTTTACTAGCCACACATTTGGGGATTTTATTATTGACTTCTAGTAAATCCCTCTGTTCTCAGTAAACATATAGCGAATTATTTTAATCTTTTGAAATTTGTTGAGGCCCAGCATAAGCAATTATAGCAAAGTTCCATGTGTACCTGAAAAGAACATATATATCCTGTAACCTTTTGTGCAATATTCTTTATCTATAACTTAGATGAAGTTTATTAATTGTACTGTTCAGGTCTTTTAGAGTCTAACTGGTTTTTGTTTGTTTTGGTCTACTTAATCCAATAGTTAATGAAAGAAAATTTAAACTCCTCTGCTACGACTATGGATTTCATTGTAGTTCTTTTAAGTACTGTCTATATATTGGAAGTTATGGTTTTAGGTATATATGTATTTAGAATTGACTGTACTATCATAAAATATCCCACTTTATTTAAATTGCACTTAAATTTACTTAAATTTCACTTCATCTGATATAGCATAGTTCTACTAACTCATTTGGATATCTGTATAATATGTCTTTATTCACTCTTTTATTTTCAATATTTCTGTGTCCTTATATTTGAGGTATCTCTTGAAAGCAGAATATGTTTAGTTGTTTTTTATTCAGCCTGACAATCTTTATTAATAACATTTATACTAATATAATTACAGGATAAGTTTGGGTTCATATCTACAAATTTATTATTTGTTTTTGGTTTGAAATTAATGTTCATTTTCCTTTCTTTTCCTGCTCTTTTTGGATTAAGTATTTAAATACTTTTCCATTTATCTCCTCTATTAACTTTTTTGCTTGGACAAAATAACTTGTAGTGGTTATGAGAATGTAACATGTATCCTTGATTTACTAGAGTCTAATATAAATTAGGATTTTACTACTTTTCAGATAATGCTATGATCTTAAAGTACTTTAACTCATTTCTACTTCCCAACTTTTGTGTTAGTTATGCATTACAATTGTGAATACATTTTATGTATATGTATATTATATTTAATAAGACATTACTATTTGTTTTTAGTCAAAATTAATTTAGATATACTTTTGGTTCTTTCTTGCATTTCCAATTTCTGTGCAAGATTATTTATTTTGCCTTTAGATATTTCCCTTAGTATTGGTCTGCTGAGATGCATTTTCCTCAGTTCTGACAGTTTGAAATGCTTTTATTTTGCTTTTACTTTTGCAGTGAATATAGAATTCTAGATTGGCAATATTAAGTTCTAAGTACTTTTAAAATGTCATTGCAACACTTTCTGGCTCCTAATGTTTCTATTGAGAAATTAGCTTTTAGTCTTATTATTGCTCTTCTGATGCTTAAGCTGCCTTTTTTCTCTAGGTACTTTTAATATTCTCACTTTGTATTTGGTTTGCAGCTCTTTCATAATAATTTCTGTAAGTATTTTGGCTTCATACTTATTTTCTGTTGTACTGAATCTGTAGTTTGATGTTTTTAATCAATTTGAAAAATTCTGTCATTAACTCTTAGAATATTGCATTTACCCTATGTGCTCTCGTCTCCTTCTCTGTGACTCCAATTATATGTATTGTATGTATTGTATATCTTTTTGGTTGTGTCTTACGCATCTAGCACTTTTCTATACAATCCATCTCTTTTGCTTTTTTATGCTTTGGTCAGGATATATTCTACTGACCTATCTTCCAGCTCATTAACCCACTTTTCAGGTATGTACAGTCTATTGTTAAGTCTCTTGTCCTTTTCCTGATTGTCTTTCTGACAAATCTTTTACCTCTTTCATTTGCTGACTAATGGGCAACAGGAACTACATGAATATTTGCAATTATTATACTTGTCCTTACAAAAGCACATTAAACTTAAATGAGTCCATTTTGTTATCATTAGTAATTTTAACAAGTATAGGAGTGGATCCATTATAATCTAAATGAATGACTGCATTCTATTTAAAAACAACAGAGCTTTACAAAGGATATATAAAAATTGCCACACTCTAGGTCACATTTTATATTTTTAATATACTCCATGTTTTATAGTAGATTGATGCTAAAAGTATATTTTAAAAAGATACTTACTCTCTCTCCTTTTCTGTCAGCTTGTCATTGATATTATCTTTGATTGTTGATCTAGATCCCTTATGAATTATAGGGTATCTGAGGGGCACTTGCAGGAAAAAGGAAATCATGGAAACCAAATGTGCAGTGTAACCAAGGGCAACAGCAATGCTTCCATCATCTTTTGCTATAAATTAAAAGCAGAAGAAAAGAAAACAACTTTTTAATTTATAAATGTAGCCATGAGATCATAATCAATTTCAAAGGAGATTTTATTGAGAAATAACTGGGAAATAAAATATTAATCTTATCTAGATTACATAGTTTACATTTATAATTTTAAACTCAATTATACATTTATATTATAAATTTACTTCAATTATATGAATTTTATACAAATCTACATACAGTAACAAGGCTTAAAATTTAATTTACTATATTTGAATTTATTTCCCAATAATTAATGTGGTGAGATTAACATTTTATATATATCTAAAGAAAGAATTCTTAGTATATTCAAATATCCATTACTTTCTTTCCCAGCATTTTTAAAGGCAGAGATAATACTTGAGTCTATAATATAATGCGAAAATTAGTTACAGAGATCTAAACATAACATATTATATATGCATTGTACATTTATTCATTAACAACTAATAAGCAATATAGTTGTACTGCTGTACTATTGTACATTATTAATTCTAAGGATTAATTGTGCATAATCCTTTATGTGGTATGTTCTTAATATTCATAAAGATAGTGTTGCACAGATAAGTTTGTGGAGTTTGAAACACAATAAGGAGGAAAACCATTTTAAACAGTAAAAGCAAAAAAGTAAAAAAACCCACCCTGTTAATATATCCTACTTATGCAATTTTGGTGAAAGCAACTGTTGAAAAAAATGCATGCAAACATAAGCAACTGTTTTTTAAGAAGCCACAGAAAATTACATTTTTAATTCACCATTTAGATTTGTTATCACCTACCAAATGATAAATAATCATTCAGGTCCTCAGAACTGAGGGCGATACAACCAAAAATGTATGCTTGACCCAGTAGGAAGGAAAAAGTAATTGCTTAGCATACAGTATTCCTAAAATACTTCAAAAAGTTCACATGCAAACAAACACACATGTGCACACATGCTAAAAGACTTAATACATCACCTGGAGTATCTCTTACTACAGAAAGGCTGAAATGACTGAGATCACCTTGGCTTGTATTTCCTGATTTCTAAGGGTAGCTTAACTTCAACTACGACTACTATTTTTCACATTCTTCTTTTATATTTGTACTTAGTTACCTAAGCTTTACCTTCTTATTGTAGGGATGCCATTATAGCCATCTACTCCTCAGTGAATTCTCCACCCTTGACTGCCATAGCAGACTCTTAAGTTTCTCTTTGATCATATTGTAAAAGCAGGTAACTTTTATTACACACTTTTCTTCCACCAGGAATTGACCATAACATTTTATTTATGACAGTCCTTCATTCATCCCCAATGACTAAACTGAGCACCTTTTATATGCTATTTCATTCATTTTACAAATAAAGAAACTAAGACTCAAAGAAGCTGAGAATCCCGTCCAAGTAATCCAGCTCGTATACAGCTGACCTGACACTCTCTCTGTCCTTTAGGCATTCTACATACTGTCTCAGAACTTTACTGTGGAGTAGGTAACTTTTTTTTTTTTGGAAGCCTAGAACATACCAAGCATATGACACACATGGGCTATCTTGGCTTCTTCACTCTTTTCTAGTAATGGCAAAAACCACCGAGTCTGTGAGTCCTCAGTGACTTGGACAGTGCCAGGCAGAGAATGGGCTCCTCAACTAATGTCTGATGTTCTCTCAAATCAAACTGATGAAAAAAATCAAACAGCATTCATTTCAAATGACAGTTCTGAGCTGACTGGAATCCAACCATCTTTAAATCCTGTTTTGAGAGACCTTGTCCTCTTGCTGCAATCCCACCCAAGTACATTGAACACTACAGCCCTTTATTTCTATTGAAATCTGTGTATCACACCACGTTAGAGACTAAAATTACATTATACTGTAAATTTATCACACTATAATTTAATCATCATATAATATTAGAACTAGGAGAAATCTTAAAAATCACTGAGTCTAACGCTATCCATTTAGAGACCAAAAAAAAATGAGGCCTACGTGACGTAAGTGGCTTGGTCAAAGCCATATATAGGTAAAAACCATGAATGATGGAGTAAGAGGCAGAACTGTGTCTGTACCCTGGCCCCCCAAATATCCAACCCTGGAGTCAGAGCTGGGCCAGAGGTCACTGAATCTTGCCTCCTACTTTCTGTAAAGAGGAAGGCTTATCAAATTTAAAATACCCTAAGGACTTAGTCTTTAAGAACCTTCTTTTGAGGGGAGAGAAGATAAAGAAGGGGACTTACAACATGGAGGATAATAGCACTCTAGGTTTGGATTTTCCCGTATGTGCTTCACACTAAGCTTTTCCTTTCCAATACGACCTGACAGAGGCAAGAGAAGGCCTCTTACGTAGTCTCCCCAATAGGTCAAATGCAAACTATAAATGTTTTTAAAAGTCTATCCAATGCTCAACACTCAAGCATCTACATTTTTCCATATCAGTAAACGGGTAATAGTAAAGAATTACATTTGCATACTTTGAGCCTACATCCATAGATCTATTAAAAGAAAAAAAAACTGGTCTTCTAACATCACCTCTTTTCAATGCTCAAACAATTTTGCTTAAATTTAATGATACAAAGGTATCCTGGAGAAGCCTATACAGGTAAATCAAAAACCAAAAAGAAAGAGCCAACACTGGAAACGGCATCATATTGGAAATCAGCTTTGACTCCAGTTATTCACACTCATCATCATTTCCACCACAAGACTCCTGGTTCCACCTATTTAAAAACCCCGGTTGTTTCCCCTTCCAGGCCATAGTGCTCAGTCACAGCCTCACTGTTAAACACCACGGTGTTGAATTTCCAATATTGAAGCTTTATATTAAAAAACATTTTAAAAGGACCACGGGTGAGGCATTACAGGGCCCAAGGGTATTCCAATATCCTCAAAAGGAAAACCACCTCCTGGTAGGGAAGTCACTTTCATCACCCCAAGACCACTGAACCTCCAGTGGGAAAATGTGAGCTCATGTGGTTAATTATGGCTATTGCTGGCCACAAAACCTCAGATGTCACATTCTGTTGCCAATCACTTTAGCTAAAAAACCAAAAGGTTTAAGGTTTCCAGCATTCCAAGATCTAAAAGACTTTTTACCTGCCAAAGCCAAAACCTGGCTCTCTAGGGTGTACTTTTCCAGTAAGCATTAATGACGTCCCTAACACCTAAAGGCTTGTGTTCCTTACGTTGTCCTGGGGGTTAGAAAGGTCACAGGTGAGAAGTTGGAAGCAGAGTGAAGCGGTTCAGGGAGGAACAGCAATAAACTGTTAAGACTCAGGTATGTAAAAAAAAGAATCCTCATTAAAACAATGCTTTAGGTGGCTTCAAACAAAACAAAAAAATCCACAGTCTCCTTATAATAAATATATCTGACTTGTTTTTTAAATATTGGTACTCAGGGCTGCAGCTTTTGTGTAACTTTTTTGATAATAAATTCCACAAACATACAATCTCCATGACGACATTAAAAATTAATTCAAATGTCCCTTTGTCTTATATGCTGGACAAACTATTAATATTCAAATGCATCCAAGTACAATAAGTGATCTAAAAGCTCTTACCATCCTGCCTTCCCAATCCCTGAGGCAGCTGATTTGTTAAGGAACCAAGCACCCACTGATCCAGACAGGACAAAATATTTAAGACTCTAATCATTGCCACAGCATCTATGGAATCATTCCATGTTCTCAATGAGACACTGTTTGACATATGGACTCTCCTTTCCAAGAAATTATGCCTGCATAAAGGGATACAGACACAGAAGGAAATCTGGGTCTCATTAACACAAAAGGCTCTGGTGTTACGGATTACTTACAAACACACACAAACAGTTTTTGTTGTTTTTTTTTTTTAACAAGAAATGTCTCTGTCAATGGAACTCAAATGAATTCCCTTCATCGGACAACTTACTCCCATTGTGTCCAGGTCTCTTTGGCATACTCTTACAGTAACTCACCCATTTAGAAGAGCACAGTAAATTTGGGGCCACTATGGAGAAGTTTCTCAAACAGTATCATTAACCCATGCAATGTAAAGTGCATCCCAGCGTGGTCTCATTAATAGCATAGAATAACCAGTTTGGAATTCCGTCACTAGAGTCTCACCAAGAATGCATCTGCTGCAGAACACTAAAAAGCGGTCAGTTTTGGAGAGGTACTTATGCAAAACGAGGAAGAAAATGCATCATGACACGAATAACATGGACCTTAAAATCAGGCTGACCAGGGATGACTTAGTTCTTACACTGGTTAGTACGACTCTTTGGAAAAATTCCCTAATCTCTCTAAGCCTCAATTTTCTTGTCTTTAAAAAAATTGAGTGTAATTCTTTCCCTCACGGAAGAATTAATAAACAACATAGCACTGTGCCTGATATTTCATGTTACCATATTTCTACTCACCCAATCCAAAAATGTCCTCCTACCCTTCTTTCAACAGAGAAATAATACTTCATTTTTTAAGACACCTCAACCATCATCTCTGCAAAAAGGCTTTCCCGATCCCCTCCTTATAGAACTTTGAGTCTCAGGTATGTGGTATAAAGTTCTAAGTGCCTGACACACAGTATGAATTCAAGATATATTCCCTGATTGGCTTGATTACAAGTCTGATGGCTTCCCCGCACTGACACCTCACTGAGGCGGGATCGATGTCTTAGCCATCTTTGCGTACCCTCAGCTGGCACAGGGGATCACACACAGGGCGCTCAGTAAACTTAAGTGTGTGGGAAGCCCTGTCGAACGCTAATGTGAAATTATGAAGTCCAATCGCACCGTATGTGCTTCTTAAAATGTTTGATTCCTAGGAGTGAGTAGGGCCTCGGAGTAAAAGTAAACATTTATTTCATTTTATCTCCCATTTTACCTTTCAGCAACAGGACTACAAAGCTGAACTTATTTCTTAAAGAATAGGAAGAATTTACTCAGCTGGTTGGGTATACACAACGCACAGATAGCTAATAAAAGCTATGGAAAACTAGGAAACAAACTACTTCAAAGAAAACAAAACCAGAATCAAGAAACATCCATAGTGGATTAAGGTGACAGTTTGCTAGTACTGATATCTCTTCTTCCCTTATTGCCTCCCTTCAAATCATTCTGTATTTAGCAGCCAGAGTAACTTTGAAAAACATATTATCAGCTCGCATCATCCCCCGTCTTGAAATCTTTCAGGAGTTTCCCACTCGACTGACAATAAAATATAAACTTACAGTGGCCTCACAGCCTGACCTTTCCTATCTCCTCGGATACAAGTCTTCCTCTTGCTCACTGTGTCCCAGCTACACAGGCCTAGTCTGGTCTGTTCTTCCCTCCTCCTTTCCTTCTTTTCCTTCCTTGCTCTTGCAACTAATTTCAATTACATTTATATGAGTACCTTTCATATGGAAAGCATTTTCAAATGATATCTCATTCAACCGTCACAATGAATTGGAGATGTAGATATTATCTCATTTTATAGGTGAAGGAATTAAGCTCTGACAGATCACATGATCCCCCAAAATACAGGTCTTTTCTCCCATGCCCCACACACCCCGAGTTATTTTAAGATGTATCAAGCCCATTCTTCCATCCTGATCTTTTTACTTGCTGTCCCTCTTCTAAGTAATACTGCCCCACAACTGTAGAATAGCTATTCCCTTTCAGTCTTCAGATTTTATTAATGTTTCTCCTCAGAGAGTACTTCTCTGCTTTATCTAAAGTAGATTCCCCTATCGTCTGTGATAGCATATTCCTTTATTAAATACATATTTATTAGTTATTGGTTCAATAGGCTGTGTATGCTCCATGGAAGGAGAGAACATATTTGTTTTTTCCATTGTTATATCCTCAAAACTCAGCACAGTGCCCAGCTCAATTAATATTTTTTCAATGAATGAATGTTCTGTATTCCTGGAGCCTGGCACAGGGCTCAAGGTACTCAGTAACTTTGTTAAGTAGATGAATAAGGAAAATGATGTGTCATGGTCTTTAAGACACCATAACTTTGCCTAAAATCAACACTAAAGCACATTTGTATGACTTATAGAGACTGGAAGGAGCACTGTACAATGAAAACCAGACAAATCCCAGCTAGATCATTACCTAGCTTTGTGGTCTCTGGCAAGTCACTAAATAGTTCATTTACACATTGTAAAATGAGATTATACCACCTTCCTTATGGGTTTCCTTTGTTTGTTTTTGTGAGGATTAAAGATAAGACAAAAGGTCATGCTTTTATAGATATAACCTTCACAACAGTCCTGTAGAACACATCGGGCATGAATTAATATGTTCATGCTACTAATTAGGAAAGCAACTCAAAGCTTAGATAGCTTCCTCCAAATTACATGGTTTTTAGAAAGTGAACCAGGAATTGAATATAGGTTTTCCCATTCCTGTTTTATCACTCTCCTTTTATCATGTCCCAACTACTTGTTGTAAGGGTTGTTGTAAAGGCCAATAGGGGTAATAAATGAAAATAGTCTTAAATGTTAAAGGACTATAAAAAACATTTCCTTTATAGGGCAATGGAAGAAAGCTCCCATCAAAATTGGAAAATTGATAATGCTCTATTCTTGAATAACTTCTTCCCAAATAGATACTATGCTAGTTTTGAAAATAATCTATAAAGCAGCCCTGGCTGGTGTGGCTCAGTTGATTGAACGCCAGTCTGCAAACCAAAGGGTCGTCGGTTCAATTCCCAGTCAGGGCACATACCTGGGTTGTGGGCCAGGTCCCCAGTAGGGGGCACTCAAGAGGCAACCACACATTGATGTTTCTCTCCTTTCTTCCTCCCTTCCCCTCTCTCTAAAAATAAATAAATTTTTAAGACCTTTAAAAAATAATCTATAAAGCTATTTAACAGGCCTCAAAGCATTGTTTAGACTAGGGGAGGAAAAACTCACTTTGCTAAAAATAAAAAAAAAATCTTTTATTGCCAGGTAGAATAAGTTTTTTTCTTTGGCATCTTGGTAAAGAGATTAGGAAAATTAAACTATTTTAAAATTAGCTATTACTATGAATCACAGTCTATAATATCTTTAATATAATTTTTTAAATTAAAAGAACAAAAAATGGGCAAACAACAAGTTTAATCTGTTGTAGTAGGAATGTCACAAAATTAAATTTTCAAGTTTTAAATTTTACAAAAATTTACAAAATTAAATTTTACATTTTACATTTCACATCAGCACAAATATGGTTTTCTAAATAACAGAACAGATTAATGTTTGTTGTTCTTCTGCTTCCAACCACACACATATTTTTCGAGAAAATCTAACGAAAGGATAGGGAGGTTATTAGTATTCTCAAGAACCCTGTTGTCTAATTTTCTTAAAGCTCTTTAAAAAACTATTTTCTTTTAAACTTCAAATATGAAGTTCAATAATTTTTTCCATGATTAGACCCAATATTCTTTTCAGTCTCCTATCAGATTCTGATTCTCTATATTTACAACAGGGAAGAGACAGAAGGTCCAAAAACCCTTCTGGTGAAAGTGCTGGGCAAGCGACATTTCAAGGCATCTTTTTCTCTGCAACATACCCACATACTACAGACACCAAGTCTTCAGAAGTAAAAAGGAATAAAATACCTTGGAAGTCCTCAGAATTGGGCAGCTTGACCCCACATACAAAGTAATCCTTATGTTCATTCTGTGAAGATAACCAAAAAATGAAATTAATCCTTTTTATGTATAAAGCAAAGAAACTCTAAGTCAAATCTCAAAGGATTCAGCAGGTCAGTGTTAACTCAAAGATAATACTGTCTTAGACTTAAAATATTACCGTAATTGTTGATGCCAGACGATGAGTACATGATGATTCATTACTATCTCTACATTTATATATACCTGAAATTTTCTATAATTTCCTATAATACGTGTGAAATTTCTATAATTTAAAGCATCATATCTAAGCAAAAAGCCATGTAAAATTTTTATCATAAAAATATCCTTTGACCAATTCGTACCTATAAATGAAAAACTTTATAGAATTAACAAGATTCTATAAGCAACCTAAATTCTTATTAGCTTTCCTTTGAGAAAATTAGTCTTTTCAATTAAAAATTAGTCTTTACATTTAAAAAAAAAAACATCAAATTTAGCAGATTTGGTTCTCTAAAAAAGAACCTAATCAGTTTTATTAAAGTTTTCCTTTTTGTATTTACTCTAAGAAACTAGATAAAAATCTTAACATCCTGACAGGAATATCTGAAGTAATACTAAGAACTATAAGTTAATCAGCAGTTATATTTTTTAAAGCAGAGCACAAATATCTGCACATATGTGTCGGAAATGGTGGTAGTTGGTAATGTGGTTGAGTGGAAAGACCCTAGAGAAACCCAAAATACTTTGGTATTCTTTCAGATGAAAATGAGTGCAGCCCTCCAACAAATTGGTATAAAAAATCAAATGGTGGAACCTAATGCCAACTAAGTCTGAATCCACTATTAAAGCAGGTATCAGCTCCTGAATGAAATCATGACAGATCATATGACTAAGGCTACCACAAAGAGTGTTTTCATTGAGGGGAAATTTCAAATAGAAATCATCTTTAAAAACAACAACATTTTTTTCAGAAAATTTGAAACTTACCAAATCAATAGGGTAAATGTAAGAAAGCTCAGATAGTAACTGCCTGCAACGAATTGTCAACTGAGCATTAGTCTTCAGAAAGAGTTCTCTAATGAGGAGAGAGAAAAAAAATTCATTTGTTAAAAAACAGGCTTACATACTTTCAAATATTTATTTCCACATAACTGATACAGAAAAAGGTCATGTGGTCTGCAGTAGGCCACAGAAATTTAGCAGTAGAGGCAAGAATAACATGTAACCTAAGTCCTGATCTATCTCTAAATATTATCAATGAGGCTAACAATGCACATACTAAGGTCTATTGTGTGTAGGCCTAGCACCGGGGTAAGAGATGTAAAGGGTACAAATCTCACTGACTGAGCACCTACTATTGCACTATATACTAGAAGCTTTACAAATGGCTTTACTTAATTATTATAACGACACTATTAGGTTGATATTATTATATCCATTTTATAAACAGGGAAACAAGATTTAAAGATCAGTAAGCTGACCAATATCTCACTTAATCTGATTCCATTTGATTTCAGGAAATATCCATATGGTAGTTCCTCAAAAAAGAGTCTTATTTTTCACTTACAACTACATGTTGTAACTACCTCAAAAATACCTGCTGCCATGGTAGAAAAATGATATAAGAACAAACAAGCAAAATGCTGTGGCGTGAGATGATGAAGCTCTTCTTGAGCCACTTAAGAAACATAAACAACAGATGAAATACCTACAGAACAAATTACAGGCTCAACAATTTTAAGAAAAGAAATGAATTTAGAAGGAGCTGTAGGTCAAGTTGTAGACTATAATGCAAATAGCACTAGGATGTTCAGGGACCTAGCTCTGCTTTCCTAGTGAGTTTCCAAGGAGTAACTTCCCAGAGCCTTGCTTTTCTATCTGCAAAGTGAGAGGATTAGATTAGATGAAATCCAAGGTCCTTTCTAGGTCTAATGTTTTTGAATCCCCAACTGCTAAGGTTTTTTTGAAAGAAAATGCAGGATGAAATGATTTCCCTGGGAAAAAAAAAAAAAAGAGTAAGGATGAGCAATCGAACAGAGGAGGCAACAAATTAAGCAAGTGCTGGAAAACATAAGCAGAAAAACCATTAGCATTTGTTAAGCAAATATGGTGGAGAGATGGAAATTAGCTACAGTTGTATAGTGCCAATTTATTGAAGGTTACTTGAAAATTAAGCAAAAGAACACCATGGGCTCTTAAGATGAGAAAATAAATAGTAAAAATAGTATTTTAAGAGGAGAGATCTGAGAGCAACATGGAGGATAAATTGGAAAGACTGAGAGAATGAGAGACATACTCTAGGAACTGCTGAGGTAATACAAAGGAGCTAACACTGAAGAGGAGTAAATCTAAAGCAATTACTGATGAAAAAGTATAAACTACACTACATGTGGAAGACAAGATGAGAATATTCAAATATCAAGTCGTGGTGCTGTGGCCTGGAAAACTAGAAGAATAGTGTCTTCATTTCTGATTATAATATACACTAGGAGCTCTAAAATCTACCTCTAGCACAGTGCCTGACACATAATAAGTGCTTAATAAATGTTGAATAAATGAAAATAAATAAATATTGAGCTGTGTGGAATACAAATTAGTAATAGCAACTCTTAAAGAGTCCTACTTTTCCGAATCTTATCCCCAAAGTAAACTCAACGTTCACAACAACTGAGTTTCATTTACCTTTTCGCGGTACAGTCCTTCCTCAACTCATTTAAGGATTCCTTTTGGAGTTGAAGCTTAAGGTGCTCAGCTGAAAATGTACTTCCTAGAGAGAGATGGAAGAAGACAATTCCAGATGTAATAGTGCAGACAGAGATGCTCAATCACAACCGACAGGCACAGCCCAGTCCCCTGACTGTGGGAGGGAAATAAAGAGTTAAAAGGCAAAGTGGGTTGGGTACAGAGGTCTTCTACGGGATTTAACTAGAATAAATTTACCTATTGGTTCAATTTTTACAAAACTCCAGCCCCTAGTAGGTGTCAGAAAGAGTCTAAGACTCCCTGTATACAGATTTCTAGATTGCTGACCCATAAACAGTGGTGAGATTTCAAAAATCAAACAACTTTGTTTTTTAAAAAACTGGCTATGGACTCTGGGTGTTAACGATGACTCACCAAAGGTTCATGAGCTGTAACAAACGAACCTCTCCGGTGGGGGATGCTGACAATGGGCGAGACTGTGCACAGGATGGGGCCAGGGGTATATGGGGATTCTCTGTACCTTCCTACCGGTGTTGCTAGGCACCTAAAACTGCTCTAACAGCAAAAGTTCATTTTTTAAGAAAGGAGTTAATTTCTGTTCAACCAAAAATGTTATATAGCAACATAACTAAATGTATAAACAGCAGGGCAGGAAAAATTACCTGTATTTGACTACTACAATATACTTCATAAATATAGTTTTTAATAAATTTTTATATTATTCATAAGTGTAAGTAGTTTTAGTTACAATCATAGTGTGCAAGAAATGTATATTCTGGTTTTTCCACATTATGTCACAAGTATTTTTACATGTTGACAGATAGTCTGAGTTATAATGTTTAATAGTTGTATAAAATTCAACTCCGTGGATGTGAATTATATGAATATTCCATATTCTGATACCCCATAGCTTAATCCCATTACAGGACATTTAATTTCCTTTAAGTGTTTGCTTTAGCACTGCAATGATTAATATTTGTGTTAATGGGCCTGATTTTTTGTACTTATATCAACTTTTGGAACTTCCATTTCTATTTATGTGATCATAAAATCCTTTTACATCTTTCTACTCTAAGAAAGTGAGAGTCTTACATTCTTGACACTCCAGGTCTGATAAATCCAGCAGTCCTGAAGCACAGAGAAGCAGTCTTAGATCCTGATACCCTAAGTTCTAGATCTTACAAAGGTGTTATGTTTCATGACCTGTGACCCAATAGAAACGGGTGCCCTACATTCTACTGCACATCTCCTATAGGGAGGAACAAGAAGTAGATTCAATGACCAAAGTAGGTTGGATGTTAGCACTAAATTTACCAACCTAAGTAATTTTATCAACACTTTTCTAAGAGTCCTACTCTTCTTTCTCAACATTTAAATGAGCAGTAAGTTGGTGGCTCTGCCCCTAGAACAGAACTTAATCCATCAACACCACTTTTCTTCTTTAGCCCCAGTATAATTCCTCCCCAAATTTTCACCGCCAATGATTTCAGAAGACAAAGTTGACAACCTCCACCCCCAAAACACATGCTTTTCACCAGAATGTACATAAATTCTTCCACCACGACAGAAATTTTCACAATTATCATTCATAGATACATTAGGCTGCCTCGACTGCAACACTGCGGGCGAAATGACACATAGGGATAAGACAGATCTGGGCTTCAAAATGCAAATGTCCATATCCTCACAGCTTTGAAGGCTCTCTAGAATGTACTGCATAACCAAAAGAGAGAGAGACGGGAAAAAAATCCTTGCAGAGTAAAGAAAGAAAAATTTAATTTTCAAAATATATTAGCCAGCTAACATACAAGGTAAAACATTAGTAATAAGTAGATCTAGATGAAGAACATAGGTGATCACTATATTCTTATTCTTATAACTTTTCTGTAAGTTTAGGATGATTTCCAAGCAAAAAGTTAGAGTAGATCCAAACCCAGAAAGGGGTCAGCTGAGAGGTTGTGGTTTTCCACAGGCTTTAGGGATGCGCACTGGCACCATCTCTCCAAAACACGTCAGGTTCATTTTTCTGTCAAAAGGTCATATACCTCATGGATTACAGGTGGGCTCTGGAACAAAACTGAGTGAGTTCAGTTTAGCTAGACTCAGAGAAGAGCTAAGTATTTGAAAATACCTCAGAAAACTTAACCTAAATTCCAAATGTCACATGATAAGGACTATAATCATCATCATGAGGCAGTGATGTGCTCAATCTGGAGCGGTAGTTCAGGTTATATATCACCAGCCTGAATACTACACGATTGGTGTTGGGTACTTCTAAGGATATCACATATAGAATCCCTGATGTTCATCTTGAACACCATGCATATGTCCTGCTTTTCATCCAAATTTCTACCCAAATTTAACATTGATTGGTGTCTTCTCTTTGAATCAATCTTTACTGTGGTTGCAAAGTAATGTCATTCCAATTCCGGGAATCCTTCCATATTCATCAGTCACCACTCGGCATCCTTCTCTAAGAGACTCACTTCCCTTCTCTATTAGCAATATGGAACCGTAAGTTGCATTTTATTTTTCAATGATTTATAATTTGTTATTTTATATAATTCTTTTGGTGCTCAAGTGGTCCCAGATTTGGTCAGTGGAACTTTTGTCAGCCTTGCTCCAGTGTCCTTCTGACATGCTACCATGTGTTACTCAAAATATTACTTAATTATCATTTTAATTTCTGTAGGGTTGGTAGTGCTAGTTCCTCTCATTCCTGATACTGGTAATTTGTGCTTTCTCTCTTTTTATTTGGTTAGTCTGGCTAAAGGCTTATCAAAAAGTTTTCAATGAACACTTTTTGGTTTCGTTGATAGTCTTTACTGTTTTTTTTGTTCGCGATTTCACTGACTTCTGCCCTTGATTATTTCCTTCCTTCTGTTTAATTTGGATTTAATTTGTTCTTCTTTTCTAGTTGTTAAAATACAAGGTTAGATTGCTGATTGAAGACCTTTCTTCTTTTCTATTTTTAGCATCAAATAATATATATGTCCCTCTAAGTTTCCTTCTCTTCAAATGTTGATGTTATATTTTCATTTTCATTCAGTTCAAAATATTTTTTAATTTTCATTGTTATTTTTTCTTTGACTCATGATTTATAAAGATGTGTTTATAAAAATCGGGAATTTTTCAGGTATCTTTCTGTCAGTGATTTCTAGTGTATTTCTGTGTTGGTGAGGGACCATGCTTTGTATTATTCTGATTCTTCTGTATTTATTATACCAAAAATGACCTAACTGAATGCTCTCATGTACTTGGAAAAAAATGTATATTCTGTTGCTCTTCAGTAGAGCCGTATACTGTCAATTAGGTTAAGTTAGTGATAGTGTCGTTAAGGTCTTTTATCCTTACTGATTTTCTCTCTACTGATTCTATGTTTTACTGAGATGAATGCTGTGGTTCCAACTATGATTGTGGATTTGGCTACTTCTCCTTTCAGTTCTATTAGTTTCTGATATATATCCTACTGTTATATATTTAGAATTGTTATGCCTGTTCAAGAACTAATCACGATATGGTGATATCCATCTTTATTATAGGCAATACTCTTTATTCAGAAGGCTGCTGTGCCTGATATTTACAGGGTGGGACAAAAGTTGGTTTACAGTTGTTCATATGAAAACTAATACAATAATTAATGAATAATAATACAAGAATAAACTGTGTTTTGCATGCTCACAACTGTAAGCCTACATTTGCCCCTCCTTGTATATAGCCACTCCAGCCTTCTTTTGCTTAGTATTTGCATGCTTACCTTATATTAAAATTGGGTTTCCTGTACATAGCATTTAGTTATGCCTCTTTTTTTTCCATACAAAATCTGAATAATCTCTATTTTTTAACTGAGGTATTTAGACCATTAAAATAATCATTGATATGTTTAGATTAAAGCCTACCATTTTGCTACTTGTTGTCTACATGTCCCACCTATTCTTTGTTCCTTTATGACTCTTTTATGTTTTGGATTTTTTTTTTATGACTTCCTCTTCCGTACCATTAGCTTATTCTTACCTCCACTTTAAATTTTTCAGTGGTTGCCCCAGAGTTTAGAGTATATAACTTTAATTAATAAAGTCTACCTTCAAATAGTATTATATAATCCATGTAGAGTGTAAAGATATGAAAATAGTACCCCCAATTCTTCCCTTCCCCACTCTTCGAATTCTTCATACATTTTAGTTTTTGCATGTTATAAACCCCAGAACATTGCTACTTGTATATCAGAAAATCAGTTGTCTTTTAGAGTGATGAAAATAAGGGGAAAAAATGGTTTTATAATACCTTCATTTCAACAATTTCCAGAAGTGTGTGTGTATGTGTGTTGGCGGGGGAGGGTGTGTGTGTGTGCGTGTGTAGAGACACACTTCTGGCTGGTATCATATTCCTTCTGCTGGAGAGTTTTATTTAACATTTCTTGAGATGTAGGAATGTTGATAATGCATTTGCTTAGTTCTTATCTGGAAGAGTCACTTTGAGCTTCAGTCTGAGTAATTTCTATGACCTATCTTCAAGTTCAATGATTCTTTCCTCAGTTGTGTCAAATGTACTGATGAATCTGTCAAAAGCATTCTTTATCCCTAGTTCTGTGCTTTATTATTTATAGTATGTCCATTAAACTGTTTCTTATAGTTTCCATCTCTCAGCTGAAACTGACCACATGTTTGTACAAGCTATCCACATTTCCACAAACACCTGAAGCACATTAATCATAGTTATTTTAAATTCCCTCTCTGATAGTCCCAACATGAGTCATTTCTGAGTCTTTTTCTGTTAATTTATTCTCTTGACAATGTTTTGTTGTTGATTGTTAGTGGTAAAGGTAAAAGTGGTAGTGGTGGTTTTTTGTTTTGCTTTTTTTGTCTCAAAACTTTTGACTGAATCCTAAACAGGATTTTCAGGGCAATAAAGAAAAGGGTATGCTTTTTCTTCTACTTTTAATTTAGGGGTTGAGTCAATACAGACAGCAACTGCGCTGTATTTGGGTTTTGTTGCTGCTATGGTTACTTTCAGTGTATCACGACCGTCAAACTTCCTCTAACTTTTCCTTTTTGGTAGTAGTGA